CTTACCATTTGGCTTGCATTGATAGTCACAAAATTATTTGCCTATATATCTCCAATAGCAGAGTCCTTGTGCCCTTCTATTTGGCTTGCTTCATTGGCTACTAGTTCATAATGCTCCTTGTTCCCTTCAATCCAATCTCCAACTAGAAATTGAGTATTTGTAGAGAAAGTTACATCTAAAAAATCAAAATCATCTAGACACCATGAGTTTTCCAATTCAACTTTTAACCAAGACCCATATCAATGAACAATTTTGCCCTCGGCATCTTTGATACAGTTTGCAACTTCACAATCATTTTCAAAATGGCCCATGCATCTACAAACAAAACAGAACTTTGGAAGTCTTTCCTATTTGATCCTAAGTTTTTGACTTTTCGTAGCAGAAATTTGAGAAGTTTTCAATCATCTTAATGGCTTATTCACCTACAAATCAATTCTAACTCAGATAGCCTTACAAAAACTTTCATCTAGCTCTAGAACCTTCCCCAAGGAACTCCCAATCATGAATCTAACTTGCTCTGATTGCATACCAACAAGGACATCAAAGAGTCAAACCCATAATGGATTTGTAGAAAAATTATATTGTTCTACAGTTAAAGAGGTGTGAAATTGTTTAACAATAAGCAGAGAGTTGCTAAAATTCCCAGGTCTGTTATGTAGGGATTTGTTGAGATCTCTGAGATCTCCAATATTAGAGAATTGAAATAAATAGGTATTTTCCTTAATCTCAGAAATTTTAAAAGCCTTCCTAGGGTTCCACAAGACCATTAAAGCTTTATGGAGACCATTTAGATTGATTCTTTTTTGAGAAAGGATCTTCCCCACTAAATGAAGCTTTTCCACCATGGAGTCTTCTAGTTTTCAATTGAATGCAAAGGAAGGATGCCATCCTCATCCTTTGTGAGATGAATGCAATTGAGCATGGAGTCGAGTTCTTCATCTGCCATTCTTATTGACACCAGGATAGCGACAGTCTATAGCACAAAAGAGAACAAACCTTCAACCACCATAGCCACCCTAGCAAATGGCACAACACCTGACAACCAATTTTTAGTCATCCCCTAGACCTAGAATACATGAACCAAAGCAAAAGGAGAAAATTAAAGGGAAGGAAGCAAAGCAAGATGAGCAATTTTATGCAATAGAGAAGAGAGAGGGAGCTCCTCAACCGGAGAGAATACCCAAAAGTGAAGCCTGTTGCCTAAAAAAGCCTAACCCTAGAAGTTTCACAGCATGGGAGCTTTTTTATCTTAACACTTAGTTGTGCAACAATTAAAATCTTAAACTATTTGTTTCTTCAATTTTAATTGTTATGATTTATTTACTTTATATTATATTTATTAAAAATAATTATCTTTTTAATTTAAAAGATCATGATAAATCTCAACTATTAAAAGTAAAAAAATAAATAGTTAAAATTTTATTTAAATATAGTTAATACAATTTGTGTATAAATGAATCTTTATTCGTGTATATATATATTGTTTGTGTTTTTCATAATAAAAGAATGTTTTCTTTTTTAATTTTTAATTTTAGAATTTAGGTGTTTTCTTAAAATTGTTTTGGTTTCAGCTAAATAATATGGTGTTTCGGTGGTTAAATTTGAAGCGGTAGTTTGCTTTTGTTTCGGCAATTTTGGTTGGTAGATGGTGTTCCTCTTCAATTAGCTTCGTGTTACAGTCCGTTGCCCTTGCCGTTGCCGACGCCGAGATAGTCTTTCGATACCGTAGTGGCTCCCATACCCCAATACCGTCATGTTGTGGTTGCCCAGATTTAGGTCGATCCGTAGGTTCCAGTACCGACCGAACGTCGTCCACACCTACATTATTGTGTTGATGCTTGAACTTGGGCCCATGTTGATAAGAGGTGTAGTTGATACGTTAAGTCCAATCCACTCCTATTAACTGGACAAGACAGCAGCACAACACAGAGCTATCCGGATATATTGGGTTGAAAGTTGAAAGTTGAAACTTGGTGCACTTGCAAAGTATGACGCTCTCATAGAAGAGACTTTTGTGTTCGCTATAAGATGTTCTTTCTTTTTGTCTTTCTTGTTTTAACCAAGATAAAAATGGTTAGTTTGTCGAATCGTATTATGTAAAATTTAATTATCTATTTTAATGAATTATTATTTTCAATAAACAAAAAAAAAAAGAGGAAACTTGATACGCTTTAGTCAGGCCCATGCATGGACAGTCCATTGAAGATAGGAAACGACCTCCAACTTAAAGGTATACACATGATTTGAACTGTGCGCCCAAAATGGATTGTACTGTAAACGCACTACTTATCCCGCCCACCATGTTCTGTTACCACTTATGCCTCATCTTTCTCCCTCAAAACAACACCTTAACTATATGGCGAGGCCCCACGCACCAAAAATAATTTAGAAAAGTGATAGTTAGGACAAATTTTAAGGACTAAATTCTAAGACAAATTTATGGTACATAATTATTAGTCATGGTGCAAGTCTTATATGAATTCATATAATCAATTGTTAAAATAATTTTGTTGTAAATATTGGTCTCAAGAGTTATTACTCAATAATTTAAGGTCTCTTCTATAAATCTCATTATTTGTAATTGAAAAAAAATAAAGAACCAAAACGAGACAAAGGAAATATTAAGGACTTAAGCGCCATCACCGACCCCATAGGCTATAGTTTAAGCCTAATAGAGGTTAATTAACTTCCATAAGAATAAATCATTAATAGCTAATTTTGTGATTAACAAGTATAC